GTCCCAATTCACTCATGGTAGCCCACGCTGGGTTGATGCCTCTCAGCCTCAGGGCCTGTGCCATTCTCCTGGGATCACCGGGCCGGCAGCACCTGGAATGGCTGGTGGGAAGGGAGCTCACCATCTGAGTACCCCTCAGTCAGCTGTAGGGCCCCAAAAGGGAACGCCCCATTTCCTGGAAGTGCCTCCGGCTGGTGGCTATATTGTCTCTCTTGGCAGCCAGGGATAGGGAAGGGGGAGGGGAGAATGAGACAATATGGCGCCTGCTGTGCAACTGAGGTGTGTGCACAGGGAGGTGCCCCGCGGGAGTTGGGAGCCTGGTGCTGTGTCCGCTACAGGCTTACCGCTCGCTGGTGGTGGCAGTCTCAGGGCTGGCGTCTGCAGGTCTCTCCACTTGCTAGGGAGCCCACCAGCAGTCCAAGATGCAAGGTCAGGGAGAGTTAACTGCTCCACCTACCCTTGCCACTGGTCTCCAGGCTACTCAGGAGGTCTCTGCTTCCAGTTCTCCTGTTTAACCTCCTCCTGTGGAGTCTTCCGTGGTCTCAGGTACCCCTCCTTCCAACCCTCGTCCAATGTATGTTCGTCTGCTTGCTTCTTTCTTCTAATTTCTCCTAGAATCTGTCTTTTCTGCAGAGATACTCTATCTGGCAGTGTTTCTCATCTGCCATCTTGCTGGAAGTGATTTCTTGAAATGGAATGTACTCCTTGGAAAGATGATGTGGACATTATTGAAATGACAACAAAGGATTTAGAATATTCTATAGGTTTAGTTGAAATAGCAGTGGCAGGTGTTAGAGAGGACTGACTCTAAGTTTGAAAAAAGTTCTACTGCTTGTAAAATGCTATCGAGTATATCACACGCTAGAGAGAAATCTTTCATGGAAGGGAGAGTCGACCCATACGACCCATACAGCAAATTTCATTGTTGCCTTATTTTAAGAAATTGCCTCAGTCACCCCAACCTGCAGTAGCCACCACCCTGATCAGTCGGCAGCCACCAACATCAAGGCAAGACCCTCCCCACCCACCAGCAGAACGATTATGACTCCCTGCAGGCTCAGATGATCATTAACATTTTTCACAATACAATATTATAAAATTAAGGTATGTACATTGTTTTTGTAGACTTAATGCTGTTGCACATTTAATAGATTACAGGATAGTATAAATATAACTATTATATACACTAGGTAGGAAACCAAAAAACTTCATGTGACTCCATTTATTGCGACGCTCACTTTACTGTGATGGTGTGGAACCGAACCTGAGATTCCTCCAAGGTCTGCCTGTACTTTGTCACAGCAGCCTTAGAAAACTGATGCAAACACACCTTCATAACTGTATCACTTTGCACATGCCCATTCTGTGTAAATTTATATTGAGCTGACCTGAATTGTAAATCATTTATTAATATGAAGATATTAAATGTAGGGCAAACGTGTGTTCCTGAGGAAACTAAATCTTTTATCTTCCTCATCAATCAATTCACTTAATCCTTCATCCAAAAACTGTGCCTTCTCTCTGTCCCATCCACTAGTCCTCTGGTGAAGCAACTCAGAACATAGTCCTGGGGATGGCACCCTGTCCACAGTTTATAGAGGCCTAGATTCAGTCCATTTCATCAATGAGCTTAACTGCCTCCTAAGTCACTCCAATATATTGACCTACTTTCCCCACGCAGGGACGATGCTGCTTTACAGCAAATGGGACAGCTGTTGCTTATGCATTTGGCGACATCCTCTCCAAAGACTGCTCTGTGTGTAGGTGACATGCACAGACAGAGATCGCCCAGGACAGGTTAGGTACCACCTTGCCTACAGGTAGGGGGAGCTAACATGCCCCTGCCTGTGTGCATTGTTAGAGGTAGCTGGGATTCAAATTTTCTGTATCCCACAATGAAAACCTGCCCATCTTCAGCCTCATGACATGTATTTGCAAGTATCCATAGACTTCCTAGGAGAAACTTCCTCTTTTCTGTAGAATCTCAATGGATCACTAAGAGGAAGGGCTATGAAAACACCTGGCCCCAGATCCTAATTTTAGAGTTGTGGGACTGGCCACAGTCACTCAGCTGATCAGCACAGGTGTAGAAAGAGAACTCAGGTGTCCTGCCACCCAGCCCTGTGCACACTCTTTATGGGGTTACGGAAAAGTGCAGAGAAAAGCAACATGGTGCTTTTGGAAACCAGAGCTAAAGATGGAACAAGTTTTCCTACTTCTGTTTCCTCTCTCCCTTCTCCTTCACCCTCCTTCCTGGACTGCTGTGTCATACCCTTCAGTGTCATAAGTCGTTCCTATTTAAGAACATTGAACATTTACAATTTTTGAACATAAAGATGCATATCTAATCATTACATTTATGTATCAGAAAATTGTTTGCCAATTAAATATGAGAATTTTGTAATCCAGCCTATACAGAGCTTTGTTTTTATTTCTGTAGGTATTTTAGAAAACAAACAAAAACAAAAACCTATACATTTTTCTACTACATGTAACCAAAAAAAAATCAAATTCACAAGAAATGCCTAATCACGCATATCAAGCCAGTTAACTCAGGACACAACTCAGATGCTCTTATTTCTTCAGAATCACATCAGCAAAACAGCAACTTTAAATACAAGCACACATTCACTTTAGCCACTCTCAGATAAGCTAGCAAACACAAGCCCTGCGAGCAGGCTGCTGCGAGATGAAGCGGAGACCTCTGGTAAACGAGACCTGCCAGGGATCAGGCCCTCTATGTCCTTGTGTTACAGCAGCCTTACTTTGGAGAGTTTAACATTCCTAAGCTCTATTAAATGCATATGTTTTATTTTCATAGATATATTTTATATGCATATATTTTCATGCATATATTTTAATAGAGAACAGTCTACACTTGTATAGTAAAATTAAAGTTTATGATTTAGATATACGTGTGTATGTGTATATATATATATGTATATATATATATCTAACATATACATTCATAGAAAAAAACACACATGTACATTCCTAGAAAGAAGTAGCAAGGGAATTCTAACAGTATAATAACAATCTCTGGATTGTAGATTACAGGTGGTTTTAACATGTCCTTCATATTTTTTACTTTTTTCTCTAAATTTTCTACAATTAACATTGACTATTTTCATAATATTTTTTAAAAAACCAGTGTTTAAAGCAAAACATATACAATACAAAGTATCCAACTGCCATTTCCATGATAGGGATTATTACTGAACCAGAAGGCTCTGCTTATTTTTTGAGTCTAGACTGTTAGTCACAGAATTTATTACCTTGAGCATGTCATGAAATGCTCATGTTCTCTTTCCTTCTATGTTAGGTTGAGATTAAAAAAAAAAAAATGCCTGCCTCTGATTTTTGTCGTGAGGATTAAAAGAGATGATATTTGCAAACTCTCAGGTCCATTCTCGGAGATGACTGGAGCTCGGTAATCAATGCCCCTTGCCCCTACTCCTAGGATTACAAGTGACATCTAGCCACTCTGCAGCAGGCATTTATCTCTCTTGCCTGATTCTGTAGCCAAATTACTTCCTCCATTTTTTGGTAAAGTGTGGCCAGGAATAATTTGCATCAGAATCACTGGGGACCTCAATGAGAGCATTTACTGAATTAGAATTTCTGGGCCTGGGACATTTGCATTATGTAAACAAGAATCCATATGTTAATTATGTTTTAAAAACAACCAAGATCCACTGAGAGGCCTTGTCCCTGACTAGGTTGTTGAACACTCTAGGTTATAACAATCATGAAAAGAAAACAGTTAGATACTTTCTAATTTTGTCATAGGGTTGCTGAAAGGCAGCTAGCATACATCTACTTTCGAGAGATGAAGCAATATGGAAATGCAAGAAAATGTTATCCAATTCCAGGTAACTAGCATCTTCTGCAGAAAAAGTGTGGCTCTTTGTATCCAGATGGGCAAATTACTAAGTGTCGTTCATCACCATTTCTCGCCATGGCTTGCTTGCATTTCTGCCCATGATGTGGCATGGGAGTGCTCCCTACTTCCCTGCCTCATGAACGACAGGCACTAGGTCTTACTTCTCTGCATACCTTCAGTGTCTAGAACAGTGTCTGGCTACAGAAAGAACGCCATGAATGTGTTGCCTTGTTGCAGAGAAGCTGGGGGCCTGAGGATTCAATAAGCCTTAAGAGACCCCTGCTTCCTAGCTTCACTACAGGATGCAGCTGGCATCTCTGAAGACCAGTGCTTGAAATAAACAAACAAAAGATGCGTACGTGCCAATTAATGATGCACAAAATGGCAGAAGTGCTTGCATAGCTGGATTTTTAAATAACTATTACATCAGGATTTGGCTTTGTGGAATTATATTGCAGAGTAAATTAGTGATTATACGCTGTTCCTAAACCCATGTAATAATTGCCTCTTACTATGTCCTTCTGTGCTCGAGAAAGAAGTTGCAAGCTATCAAGAGATTTCCAGGGAAAACGGAAACAGCTCACTTTTCTGTTAGGCATCTGCAGGCTCTCCAGTCTGGCTAGCTACTCCAAGATACATGATTGCAGTTAATTCTCACGGCTCTAGGGGTGGGCACGGTTATTCCCTTGCCCTGATGATCAAGTGAAGCTCAGACAAGCTAGGATTCACCCAGATCACACAGTTCTCAGGGCCGAACACCAGCCAGGTTTTCCTACTTGTCCAGTCAGGGCTTCCCACTGATCATGAGTTTTGTTTTTTGTTTGTTTTCCCTTTCTTTCTGTTTTTGTTTTAAAAAAGAAAATGTCCTTGGCAAGCCCTACAGCAAATGCTGGAAAATTAATCCCTGCTTCAGTGAAACATTATCAGGACCATTAACAAGCTTCCTTTTCTGTCTCTCTCCCATGGAAATAACCTAGCTGTGCATTCCTGTTATTCATCAAAACACCCTTCCCTCCACACGTTGTTCCTTTAAATCTGCATGCACACAGGTGTCCACTTCCAGCACGTTTCCCTTCGCTCTGCACCGTCAGGTGGCCGGGCTAAGCAGGAGCCTTACCGGTGATGTTGCAGAACACCTGGAGAGGTCCCAGCGGCCCACTGCCATCCGAGTCGATGCGGAAGAAGCCGGCCGTGTTGCCCTGGTGCCTGTACACCTCGCAGGACTGCTCGTAGATGGCTGCAAAGACACAAAGGCAGCAGAGAGAAAACTTTGCTTGGATTTGCATATCCCTCTGCAGGGGTCAGTAACTCCCACTTATATTTATTCCCTGAGCATTTTTTCCCCTTTCCCTTGATGTTTTCCCCAGAGCTTTAACAAACTAGGGTGTTCGTATCCTTGACAAAGCCACATCATCTATTCGTTTTAACTCACTTATTCTTCTAAAATCATCTCAGAGCTTATATCCTTCAAAATGTCTCCCCTCACCTGTTCCGTGCCCCTCCCCCGTGCTCCCACTGTACGCTGGGCTAGGATCATCAGTGTCCCGCTCAGTCTCCCTCGGTGGGCTGCAGGATCTGTCAGCATGGCTACGTTGTGTATTTGATGTTGTGTCCCTGCATCTAGCAGAGCATGACACTCACAGCAGGAGCAGAATAAATGTTTGACTAGTAAATGAACAAAAAAAGTAATGCATATCTACAGTTGAGACTTTTTACTATTAAAGTAAGGACAGTGTCTTCTTTCTATATATGCCTGGGGCTCAGTATGGGAGCTAACATATAGGTAAGTGCACAATCAGGCTCAGTCCATTTTGACTTAACATCTGTTTGCTGAGCTCTGAATACGCGTCAACAGATGTGGTTGCCCCCAGGGCACAGAACCATGGAGGAGGCAATCAGTCTGTGCCCCAGAACACTCACAGCCTGGCTGGCAGCCACAGAGGTCTTTGTGGTGCTCAGGTAGAGCCAGGCCCAGGTACCCTGAGACAGGAGGCATTAACCAATCTGCAGGTTTGAGAAATATAAAAATTGTATTAAACTAACACGAATAAATCTGTGGGAGTATAAAGGAGACATGTACTTTCTCACGTGTAAGAATATAGAATGTCACCGGATACTTCAGACAAAGGACCATAGCTCAGAGCAGCAGGAACACGTCCAATCATGTCACCCTCCCCTGCTTGAAACACTTCAGTGCCTCCCAACAGCTTCCAAGATTTAGTACAAACCCCTCACCTTAGCCAACTCCTGCCCCTGTGACTAATGCCCCATCCCAGGAATATGGAGCTGCAGTTTGTCATGATCAAGTGTGAGGGGTGCCTCAAATAATTCATTACCAGTAAAGTAATAAGGCTTAAGAGCATCTGACTTTTTATAAATTAGAGTGAATTCAAGGTTATCCTTGTACTCAGGAATAACCTTACATTTCTTACACTGTCTGCGGCAGGAGGCACCTGGGAGTGAGATGTGAACCCCTCGTTTTGAGCATACTGTCCAGGTTATTTATGTTTGCCGGAACCTGACAGTACTCTCAGTGTGTGTCACACTTGCAGAAGTCAACTCTTTTGTGAGTGGCCTGTCCCCAATCATGTTCATACTCCCAAGATGACAACCATGAGGAGGGAGTTTCTGTTGTCCCACAAAGGGTAAAGGCCACCCCTGCAGCACATGGTGGTTGCACAGTGATTAAGAATATGAACCCTGCAATCAAAAAGGGTGGTTTCGCTTGGCTGGGCTACCACTGACTACCTGTGGGAGCCCGGGCAAGCTACTTCACTGCGCTATGTAACCTCTAAGGCCATGCCCACAATGGACACTCCCTGGTGGTCACATCCTGCTCATAAATTCATGCCCTCCCCCTGAGGGGGCTGGACCTGCTGACTTACTCCAACAGATAGAATATGACAGAGTGATAGATGTCATTTGCAAGATTAGATTATAAAAAGGCAGCAATTTCCATCTTGAGTGACCCTGGATCACTTGCCGGAGTAGAAGCCAGCTGCCATGTCACCAGGCAGCCCTGGGGAGAGGCCCAAAACACTGAGCTTGGAAACTTCTGCAGCAGGCCACATGAGCGGGCACCAAGGCAGAGTCCCCCAGTCACACCGTGCAGTGACTGCAGCCTCGGCTGATTTCTTCACTGTGGCCGTGTGCGAGAATGAGCCAGAACCACCCCGCAAGTTGCTTGCAGACCCAGAGAAACTACGAGATGATGTGTGTTGTTTCCACATGCTAAATTTTCTAATGATTCATTACAATAGGTAGTTATTAAACCCTCAAAGCATTATTTTACTCATCTGGTTATAGGTCTACAAAGAGTCCACCTCATACTGTTGTAGTAAGAATTCAAACAGATAATCCATGTATGGCACAGAGGAAGTGCTTAAATACAAACCATATTATTATTATTACATCATTGTTTTATGTCATGTTGGCTCTTATTTTTTCTTGAGTTTTCTGTTTACTTGATTTTTTCCCCAAAATATTATGTTATGAAAAACCAACATCCTCTAACTTCCTTCTGTACAGAGATGATGATGTTTTATTCTTATTCTTTTGATATTGACTATTATTATATCTCTAAATACCATGTCTGTAATGTTACTTCTTGATTTTTCACTTTTATAAGTTACCTACTTACCAATATGGAAGATGAAAACTTAGCCCTTTTTCTCCCCATCCCCCAAATATAAACAACTTTCCATTTCCCTGCCCTTCCAACTGTAACTTTAGTTAGATCCATGGTTTCTGTTTATGATGACATTTCAATGTAAATGCTATTCACAAATTCGCCACATATTATAATGTGATTATTTTTCCTTTCCTGAGCAAAATTTAATTATTCTTGAAATTAATAATTGTCTTATTCTCTCATTTGCCCAGTTTTCTATGGATATATTGGTAATATAACTCCAAATTTACTACAACAGTCAAATGTCTCCCAAATTGTTCAGGTGAGAACTAATATAAATGAATTCTTACTGGGAAACAGAGAAAAAATGGGGGCAGGGGACAGGGATGAAAATAATACCTTTCTGGATGTTTTATATTTTTAACTTCAAAACCATGAAACTATTTTAAATAATTAAAAAAACTAAATGTAATAGAAAAGCAATTTTAAACCTTTAAAAGAAATTAAAGCAGATGATTTTTTTTTTTTTTTTTTTTTTTGAGACAGAGTCTCACTCTGTTGCCTGGCATCAGAGTGCAGTGGCATCAGCCTAGCTCACAGCAACCTCAAACTCCTGGGCTCAGCCTCCCAAGTAGCTGGGACTACAGGCATGCGCCACCATGCCCAGCTAAATTTTTTCTATATATTTCTAGTTGGCCAATTAATTTCTTTTTATTTTTAGTAGAGACAGAGTCTCGCTCTTGCCCAGGCTGGTTTTGAACTCCTGAACTTGAGCAACCCTCCTGCCTCAGCCACCAGAACAGATGAATTTAATTAGGAATTCTTTCAAGTAATATTGAAATTCGGTATTTTCTTCTTCATTCTTTTGTTACAGGAGCTTTCAAATACATACAAAGGGCACAAAGAGTAATAAAATGAACCAGATATCATCACAACCAGCTTCAACAATCACCAGTATATTTGGCTAATTTGTCATCTGTATTCTCAGTGTATCAGTTATACATTGCTGTGTAAAAACGAACCCCTCCTCCAGAAAAAGCACTTCAAATTTGACCTAAAACAACCACCATACCATGCCGCACGCATCTGCTCAGCCGCCGGGAAGCCGTGCGCAGAGCTCTTGCTCTAGCAGGGAGTTGGCGCTGTAAGGCTGCCAGGGCAGCAAGAGGGCCTTGCCAGGCCTCTGCTCGCATGGCTCGCTGATGCCCCAGCGACCACAGCAAGTGAGGGAAGCAACCAAAATCCTCACAGAGGACCTCAAGGACCTAAACGACATGAAGCTACAGTACAAAAGAGGATTTTGTCCCTGTGCGACTTTATTAAGCAGGATCGCACTGCAGTGTGATGTGAACATAAAATAAATGTTTATTTTGCTAAGCCATTGAAAATTTGGGGTCATTTACTATCTAAGTTAACCTACTGTTCCTCATATATTTGTTCCTTAAATGTTGGCTCAGTCACTGGGAGATCTCAGAGGGCGAAGCCCGGTAACAGCATTCCTATTTATGGATACTGTAAATAAGCTCATAAAATACAAGTACTTTCCCCAAAGACAAACCAGCTGGTGAGTGGTTACTCTAATTCTATCATTCCTTCCTGATTTATTAGTGGGAATACTTTATAAAATGGAAACATCCCTCATCAATTATTTGATGTCCCCAAACTACAAGATTAGAGGGGATAAGCAAGATAAATGTTTTATGCTTTTCCTTTAATTCATCAGTTTCAGAATACTGAAGTGTCTCCCTAGTATACTCCAAAAGTAGCCAATGAGAATATTTTTAGTATTATTATGAACTCATAGATAAACATATTTAGTGTAAAACAGTAGCTTGACTAATAGAGTATGGTAGGACATATCCTATCAATAAAATTAAAATCCTAAAGTAAATAATCTTATTTTTAAGTAATATTGCTATTGTATTATAAAAGTATTATACATAGCAAGGAAAAGCTAATAAATAATGTTATTGTCAACAGAATATAAAGTTTTTATCATAAAACATTAAATATAAAAGGCAAAAAATACATAAAATTCTGCAATCTTAGAGTTGGTAATGTCAGTTTGAACTCATTATATAATGCTTTCTTTTAAATAACTCATTTTCATGATTAAACCACTGAAACTGCTAGAAACAACCTAATGCACAAGTAGTATTGCTACAGTAGTGGTAAAGCTAAACACAATTTACTACTTAAAAAGAACAAAGGTTTTACTGAGTTCATTTTTTTTTTGCAGAAAAAGTACAAAATGAGATCATAATGGCTTATTCTGTTTAAAAACAAGAATCTAAATAAAGATTGGAATCGTGCCAAAATGGCACAAGGAGGTGGTTTGATGAAATAATTTTGGCATCAAAAAGAATAGTCACTGCAATTTTTAAATATATACAATCTACTAGTTTCTATCTAGTTATCCATCTTATCTATCTATCTAATAAGTCCACTGGTTCACCCTGAAGGTTGCTGGAGAATAAAGTCACATTCTAAAAACTGGAAAGAATATACTGCCTTTTTACATGAACTGTATCTGAGAGTAACCTAATAGTCCATTAAAAAAATCTTTAAACAATAACCAAAGCCAGAAAATGAAAAAGAAATAATGG